AGGGTTTCTAATGGCTGATTTTTCAGAAACTGATTGCCTGGCCTTTCTTCTAAGGAGCCCCCAGATGGACTTGAACTTCCAACCTTTTAGTTAGTGGCCAGGTGCATTAATTGTTTGCACCATTCAGGGACTCCCTTTTATTATTACTACTACTGTTATCTATAGCCAATACTTAGTGCTGTCTATGTGTCAAGTTTTGTTCTAAGAGCTTTGTATGGACTAAGTCACCTAATAATTAGAGTATTTTTATGAAGGAGCTACTATTATCACCCTCTTCTTAGAAAGGAAGAACTAGGCATTGAGAGAAGTAATTTGCTCAAGGTCAACACACAGCTAGTAGGGGGCAGAGCAGGGCTATGGACCTGGACACTCTGGCTGTAAGTCCATTCTGTTAATTTCTGTGCTAACCTCCCTCCCACTAAAGATTAACCAAAAAAACCCAAAACTCACTGCCATCGAGTTGATTCCAAATCATTGTGACCCTCATTGGGTATCCAAGGCTGTAAATCTTTACGGAAGCAGATTTCTTCATCTTTCTTCCATGGAGTAGCTGGTGGATTGAAACCACTGACCTTTTGGTTTGCAGCTAAATGCCTTAACCACTTTACCACAAGAGTACCTCCACTAAGGATAAGGAACATGGAGATGTCATTCTGGATAAGACCCACAGTCTAGGGTCGATCTATCCACCCATGTATCTGTCCGCCCATCCACCCACCCACCCATTGTGGCAAGCGCTGTGCTAGGCTCACATGCAGATGCTGTCTCCAGCTTTGGCAGTGTGTTCTTCAAGCCAAGAGCTCAGGTAGCAGTCTCTTGATCTCTGTTGCCCCTATTCTCCTGACCTGGCAGAGGTACTAGTTCTGTGGAGGGCCAGGTCTGTGGTGATGTTCTCAGAGTCATTGCTGGAGGCCCAGTCTAGCTCTTCCAGAGAGTTTATAGTACTTAATCCCTTGTATTAAATCATGTTCTCTTTAAAATGGTTACAGTGGTATCTGCTTTTTGCATCTGAACAGGGGCTGACACATTTTCCTAAAAGGGTAGTGGATGTAGTTTAAATAAGAAGTGCCTCTACTAACAGCACAGGGAAAGTGGAAATGGCTCTGAGAGTCAACTTCTTGTGTCACAGCAGGAGACAAGCACTGGGAGGGAGGCTGGCACAGCAGGGGACTCCAAGGATGCTGGGGGTGGAGATCTAGAGGAGTGAGCCAAGATGCATAGCACAGGTCAGGCCTGGAACAGAAACCCAGGGTCAGATGATGTCTAGTGCTTTCCTGGGTACACGGAGGAGCCCAGGGCATCTCAAATTAGACTGTATAAACAGTACAGAGCTAGAAAGAAAGCACAAATTTCTCCTGGAGCTATAGGGCCAAGGATCAAACTGGGGCAAGTGGTGGACAGAAAGTTAGCCAGGGTCCATCTTCAAAACCAGAAAGCTAGACTCTGACTTTAGTCTGAACACTGCATTTTTCTTGCACGTATTCTGTGTTCCAAAAAATCCTTTTATCTATACTAAAGATATATGTATTACATTTAAACTTCCTTCAACAAATATTCATTAGGCATCTACTATGCATAAGATACTTCTGTAGGTACTGAGGATATAGCAGAGAACAAAACAAATAAAAATCTCTGCCCTCACAGGGCTTACATCTGTGATTTAAAATTTCTATGAATTTGAAAAATATTGAAAAACTCAAAACAGGTAAATATTACCCATAATCCCATAAAAATTTTTCCCCATGTGTGTAAATATAAAGAAGTCAGACATCCTTTGCACCAATCCAATCTTTAAGTCTTTAAAGACTTATCAAATATATATACATATACACCTTTTATTATTACAAAACTGGAATAATGCTTTTCCAGTATGTTCTATACATGACTTTTTTACCTCATAGACCCTAGACCTGTTTTAGTTTGAGTACCCGAAGAAGCAGACCCTAAGACAAGGATTAAAACACAATCCCTGGTCAGTACATCTAGATCTAAGACATCCATTTTAATGGTTGCATAGCATTTCACTATGTATCTGTATCATTATTTATTCAATCCTCTCAACATGCACACATGCCCTCTCCCTCATCCCAACTTCCCACTCACTGACATTTAGGATTTTTGGTTAGTTGTTGATGTTATTGACTCACTACAAGGAAAGTGTATGCAATAAAGAGAAGGGCCGTTTCCCAAAGGCTATGGTTGTAGGACAGGGTTCTGAGGCCTAGGGAAATAACAGTGTTGACAACAGGGAGGTAAAATGTAGAAAATTTACCATTGTCTTTCTCAAGTTCAAGATTTATAATGAATACATGTTTATGTGAAGTTGGCTGAATCAGTCACCACAATGATCACAAACATGAAAACCAAAAAACCAAACTCACTGTCTTCGAGTTGGACCCAACTCATAGCGACCCCTCTTGGGTTTCTGAGGCAGTATCACTATGGAAGTAGATTGCCCAGTCTTCCCTCTGAGGAGTGGCTGGTGGGTTTGAACCACCAGCCTTCTGGTTAGCAGTCAAGTGCCTTAGGCACTAACTTACTGTTTCTTTTCCCTTTGCCAACTATAGTTCTTGACATTCTTTCACCTAAATTTCATCATGTATTATCAGTTCTATCATGTTCTCTGCATTTATTAAGACTACTGATTTTCTAAATAACAAAACTACTTATGATTATTATTTTGTGATGGTGGTGTTCTCAGATCCCTGAACAAATGATGGATATCCTTATGTTTCTCCACTGAGTGCCAGTCTTTACTATCTTGGTGAGCAATTTCAGATGACCATCAGCATCATCAATCCATACTTCTCAAGCGTCCTTAAGACTCATAAAACAATGGAGGGAGGAGGTTCTGTGTTGGCAGCAAAGACCATTGCATATGTCCCTGATCACCTGTGTGTCTGTGGCAGGTCACATGATCTTCCTGGATCTTGGGATAATATCTCTCTGGTTACTTACTTGGCATGTAAATCAAAGGAAAAACCAAATGTAGACATACTCTTCAAGTATCAGCTACTACATGAATATATGGGAGGAAGAACTTGATTTTGCTAGACTGTAGTGAGTAACCTTAGGTCTTGTCTACACATTCACCTTGAACAGTCAACATTTTGAAGTTGAACTTCATTCTGTGTCATAATTCCCACTAATAGGACACCTCCAAAAAACCTTAGCAAATATAGTGAATTTTGCTGAAGATTTCATGGGGAGATAGAGGAGATGATTCCTTTATACATCACACAGCAAAACTCAATGATCTTTTCCATCAGAAACATCTGTCCTTCCCCAAACGCTCATGTTGATCTACCAGGAACCTTAGTTCTCTCTTCTTCCTTGTCCAACAGAGATTCTCTACTCTTGATGGCTTCAGTCTTTCTTCAGTCCTTAAGCTTCCCAACGGGTCTTTCTCTGCCTCCTGCCCCTGTTTTGTTTTTGTTTTTATTTTTACAAGCAATTACCTCTGGCCTTTTTTCAATCTTGGATTCTCAGATCATCTTCCCATTCAATGGTCAAACCATCCTTCTTAGGTTCCCCTGCTCCCCTTAGAAAGTAGTGGAGGAATTTTAAATAAAATCTATGTTCTCCCTGTTGTAAATGGTTTTCTTTGCCATAGTCTGATTATGTACTGTTATCATTCTAATTGTTCAAATTATTATGGACTCCAGAAACTTGAGAATCATCCAAGTACAGCCTATTTTGGGCTGATGTAGTAATTTCTGGGGCCCAAAGAAGTGAAGGGCCTTGCCTAATGCTATATAAGTTTGTGACAGAACCACAATTATAAAGCACTGGGTGACTCCTAACCTAGTGCCTGTCCCATGGCATCAAGCCTAGGACACAAATAAATCGAGAGGCTTTTGGATTCAGTGGAACCGTGAACTTTGACCTGGATAGGAATGTGGAGTTCATCTAACCCAAATCTCATTTTAGAGAAGTTAAAGATAAAACCTTTCCTATATACCCAGAAGGAGCTCTGTTAGCATAGTGCCTAAGGCACTTGATTGCTAACCAGAAGGCTGGCAGTTCAAACTCACCAGCCACTCCTCGGAAGGAAGGTTAGGTAATCTACTTTCGTAGTGATACCGCCTCGGAAACCCAAGGAGGGGTCACTATGAGTCGGCTCCAACTCAACGGCACCTAACAACAACAACAACAACATATACCCAGAAGAAGTGAAAGAAGGAACACAAACAGAAAGTTGCACACCAATGTTCATTGTAGCACTTTTCACAATTGCCAACATGTGGAAACAACCCAACTGTCCATCAACTGATGAATAGATAAACAAAATGTGGTATATAAACATAATGGAATTACTCAGCCGTAAAGAGACATGAAATCCTGGTGCATGTCACAGCATGGATGAACCCTGAAACATTATGCTGACTGAAACAAGTCAGTCATTATAGGACAAATACTGTATGATCTTACTTATATGAAATAAGCAAATATATGCTACTGTTGTTGGTAATTGCTGTCGAATGTATTCTTGCTCATGGCCACCCCACATATGCAGAGGAGAGTTCAAGGGTACAACCTTTCAGGAGCAGATTGCCACACCTGTCTCCTGAGGTGCTCTGGGTGGGTTCAAATTGCCAAACATTTGGCTAGTAGTCAAGTGCTTAACTGTTTGCATTGCCAAAAATTATTGGTGGTTATCAGTAGTGGGAGGGAGGGAGAAAGGAGTTCTTTTGCTTAGGGATCACTGAGTTTATGTTAATGGTGGTGGAATAATTTGGAAAATGATAATGGGTTCACAAAATGAAGAATGTAATCAATGCCACTGGTTTATACATGTAGAAATTATTGGAAAAAAAAAAAAAAAAA